TGGTTTCTCATGTCATGCTATTTATTATGACTGAGTTGTGCCCAGTAGGTAGCATGAATGAGAGGTCTTTTCCTCCTCTAAAAAGGGAAGATCACAAATGAATATCACAGGTAAAGTTCAGTTTTCCCTTTGGTTGTTGTTATGGATCCACAACATGAAAACTACACGCGAATTCTGGGAGGAGTAGGGGAGGCTGCGAACTGGCCAGATAGGCTTGGTTGGAAGCATCCAGTGAGGTCCTGAAAACTCTGAGACACAGTGAAGGAACGGCCTAAAAGGAGGCCCGATGCAAGCCACTCTCTGTGCGGCAATTTTGATGTAGGCACTGCGTTTTTCCAACACCCCAGTGAAAGTAATTAATTGGATTTTAGTAAGGTGGGGCCTTCACCAGGCCAGCCTTTCTTTGACCCTTAGGATGTCTGCTTTTTCAGGAAATATTACATATGGGTCCTGCTACTGTTCCGATGTATTTGACACTAGGTATCTCCTAAAGCTGGGTCTCTGAGAGAAGAGCCACCTGTCCTTGAACACAAGAATTAATGGACTAGAGTATTTGAGAGGCCAATTAATAAACAGATCCACATTAAAAATATACATCAGTCAATGGAGACCAAAAAGCAGCTGGCTGGCTGTTTGGGCAGACAGGGCTGATTTATGAGGATCTCGTCATTTATAGACACAGTAAGTAATGTAATGACCTTCAAAGAATTAATTCCCTCAAACTAGAACACCAAATTTAGGCTCTGACTTTTTAGCAGCCCTCAAAAATTCCTTTCCAAGTCTCCCTTTGAGATTCTATCAGCCTCAGCCATGGAATTTTGTTTTGTACCAGGATCAAACTCAGGACCTTGCACTGAGCTAAACTCCAGCCCCTAGCCATGGAAATGTTATTAGAAATTTCTCTGCAAGCTAAAGTACCCACAATCCCAATGCAGGATATATGCAAGCTTCATCTGTCCTTTCACTGTTACTTTATATTGCACTTATAAAACTATCTGTTCTGTTTTCAATTTTTAGTCTGGACTATCAGTACCCTTAAATCTCTGTATCATCTCTTTGCACAATTATGCTGCTTGTCATATTCTGTACAAGTATAGCCTTATGTTTCAAGTTGAAAAGAAGAAAAGGAAATGGGAGTGATATGTTCTATATGATATAGTCTATGTCCCCACTTACAAAAAGGAACTCTTGAACTGATACTGAAATTTAGTCACATTTCTAACAAAGAAGAGGAGTGTTTGCATGCAGACTCAAAGAGCGTGTGGATTCCATCCAAAGTGGAGCTCTGCCTACATGACCCAGATGTGGGAGTGTTTTGGGGCTGAAAACTCTCCAGAGAAAGGCTTAAAGAGATAACCTAAAGCTGGCCAAAGGGAGTGTGAGTGTGTGTGTGTGTGTGTGTGTGTGTGTGAGTGTGTGCTACATAATAAAGTCCCAGTGCTTAAATCTGTTCCTTGTTGCAGTGAGTAACTGTGGAAGTTGCTGGACTTATATTTTCTATTTAGAATCCAAAGGAAAAGACATGACCGTGTTTTAAATGCAAACAAATACAGATGTAGCCATTAATCACCAACACGAGAAACAGCCAGACATTCTTTGTTGGTTTATCCTTGAGACTCTGGAATACATCCGTTTCTTTCACACCCCGGTGCTAAGATTCAAATTTAAGCCTCTGACATTTTCTTACCCAGACTATGTAATGGTCTCCTAGTGGACTCCAGTCTCCTCGGCTCCAGTCACAACCTACTGGCCCACACCGCTGCCAGGGTGCTGGGTATGAATCACAAACCATATCCTTCAGCAGGTTCCCCAGCCCACAGCCTCCCCAGCCTCGGCCCTAACAGGCACATTACACTCCAGCCACCGTTATCTCTGCTTCGAGTGGGCTTCTTAGCCCCAGTGGGCTGGAAGATGCTGGTACAAGTTCTGATGTATGACGAGTCAATTTGAATATAACCGTAGAGGCTGGGAAATATTCTGAACTGTGAATTAAGGCTTAGCCACAGAGTTATGTATCCCAGGTTCACTGATAATAGCAATAAAAGGTACGTGTGTATGTAGGGGTAACAATAGACATGTCTAGAAATAGGAAAATGAATTCTGGTATATGGGCACCACAGTTTGGCTCTTGGATTCCTTCAAAAGGCCCGTGTGTGCTCCAGGCTTGTCCCCAACTTTGTGCTCTTGGGAGATGGTATAACTCTGAAGAGTGGAGTGGAACTGGGGGCTTAGATCACTGGGAATAATGGGCCTCCAGCCCCTTCCTCTTCCTCTTGGGTCCTGTCAATGATGCAGAGAGTTCTGCCACGCACTGCTGCCATGATGCGCTGCCCAACACAGGCCCCAAAGCAAGAGGCACAACTGCTCACAGACTAAGACTTCCAAGACCGAGATTTCCAAAATAAACAGTTTCTTTGTATGAGTTTACTCTCTCTGGTGTTTGTTCTGTGACAGAAACTGACCAGCACAAAGAGATATGATACATGAATTTAAAATGATGTCAACAAAGTCTCTAACGACACGGAAAATATTTCAGGAAGGACCAAAGGTAACTTAGAAGATGCAAATATCCAAAAGCCTACTGCAGAAGCAAAAGAAGAAAGAAAAATAAGACTGGAAACACAAGACAGAGTCAGAGATGAGACTAAAAATACCTTTGGCTATGGGTGGGTCACCAACTCGGCTCTCAGCTTTTTTATCAAGAGACATAGAAAATAACCCGGCAATATCACAGTTCAGCATCTGCATTAGAATAACATTCCCTTATTTCACAAGGGAGCTGCTCTGGTGTTCCTGAGCCAGAAGCCAGAGCGCAAGATCCTAATGAGAGACATGATGGCGAGTTGTCTGAGAGAGCTGGTCACGGCACTCACACCAACCAATGCCATTCTGCAATCCTCCTGTGGGAGCTAATACAAAAGAGTGCGTGTTTTTAGTTTTCACGCATTTGCCTTGTTATAAAGGAGCATTTTAGAAAAGAAAACAAAAACAAAAAGGGAAGGAGTAAGCTACATTCCAGGGAATCTTCCCAAAGAATAATATTTGTTTTTTTGTCACACTCTTGATCAACTTGCTGAAAGCGGAGTCAGAATCTAGCGAATTCAGCATCGCGGTTCAAAGCCGACTTGCCAAAAGGAACAAATAAGGGTGAAGGGAGGGCAGGGACGGGAAAAAATGAGAACCAAGACCTGTCATGTGAAGGTAGGAGATCCCCGTGATGAGTGTAACTGTACTGTTTATCTAACATGTACCGATAAACTCAATGAGGGAAAAACAAAACAAAACAAAAGGAACAAAGAAGGGGCAAGAGCAGAAGCGGGAGATTAGTGAGAGCTACCCCAGGAGGCCCAGGAGAGTTGTGATGGTGAGAACGACGCCATCCTGGGCGACCGACCCGTGGCAGTGTGATAATGAGGAACATCGCCTCAGTGCTGCAGTGACAGCAAAAATAGTGAATAAGCATACAGAGAATTATCACTTTCTGTCAGGTATTGAGTATGTGAGAACCCATCATAAGCCAGCCAATTTAAACTGGATTCTTAACTTTAAGGGTTAAAATTGACATGGTGTCCTCTTTTTTCTTTCTTTCTTCCTTTTTTTTTTTTTGGTACCGGGGATCGAACTCAGGACCTCACACTTGCCAGGAGCCACTGAGCTACATCCCTGGCCTGACATTTTACATAAGGAAAAACCAATGTCTTATTATGAAGAACAAGGAATCTAGGCCCACAGGGCCGCTGCTCTTCCTAACACTAACAGAAACTGCTTTCAGGGTTTAGATGGTAAGAGAGGAGGATGCTTTCCAACCAGCGGGATTTTGCGATAGATGTTATTAATTGCTTTACTTTATTACGCTATGTCCCTCTGCTCCAATATAAAAAGACCTCCATCTTTAAAGTTCAGGCAGCAGATAATTGTTAGTATAAATATTATGGGCGCTCTTGCTTGAACTAAGAAGTATTTAGTTGCAGCTTCTATGGAAGCTCACAATGCTGCCTCTTAGCATCTCCTCCAGGAAGCACTGTTTACAAACTGTGACTGCAGAAAGTGACGCGTGAACGAGGTAAACGCTAGGGGAGCACCTACCAGACAACAGCTGGAGTTTCAGAGTTTATCTGTAACCCAACTCTGGTCATAAGAAGCCAGTGGGACCCCCTGGCTCTAAGGGCCACAGACACAGACCACAGTGGTGATGGATGAGAAACTGCTTCTCTGTCTTCCAAAGTGGGGTGGAGTGGCTAGACATGAACAGCTCCTCAGTGGATCACGAAGCAGCTCAAGGGCCACATTCCTGCTTTTCCGCAGTGAAAATTCTCACTCTTTTAAGAGAGGAGTCTATATAAATAATACCAATGTCCCAGGGTCTTGGTTTGTGTAAGAGCTTGACCAGCTTCTGACTACAGCTTCAAAGGCCACAGGAAGGTCAAAAGGAACCAAAAATAATCTAGTACTATTTCTGGCAAACTCTTACAGTAAGTAAAAAGGACAGGGTATTACATGATGTTGACAATAATACCTCAAACTTTCGAGAACAGACTAAGGCATAAAACAGAGAGATTTGTAAAAATATCAACAGTAGTTACCTGCATGAGGGAGTTAGACATATTCTTATTTTTTTAATGTTCAAGATAAATTCCAAAGGTTTACTGTAGCAACTGCCGCAAAAAATGGATCAAAAGAATACACGAACAACTTTTAAGAAAAGTTTCCCATACACTGACATTGGTATCGATTCAAATGATCAGAAATAGGAAGTCCCTATCAATTTCTCTTAATGAAGCTTTAACAGTAACAAATTTCAGATTTTTCTGTTTTTAGTTACCACTGAAAATTAAGCAGACTATAATTTTACTTCCCAAATAGATGGTTCACTAAAGCTTGACATTTAAAAATTAACATTTAGAGTGGGCTGTTTGATGTAGGCAAAAATTACATTAAACTATCCTGTCTCCTCCGGCACAGTCAAAAAACAAACGGTTCCCATTAACTAAGAGAAGCTCAAAAATATGGATTGCCTCACGAATTTGCGTGTCATCCTTCCTCAGGGGCCACGCTAATCTTCTCTGAATCTTTCCTAGTATATGTGCTGCCAAAGCGAGCACAACATATTCTTAAATATTTCATCCACTTTTACAAATTTTCCATGATGAAGGTGTAAAGGACAAATAAAATCTCTGTGTAAAACTATGAAGGTAGAACCTTTATCTGGGGGGCCTTTCTTAACTTCCCTGTGCCTGGCGTTTGTTCCACCAGTTTTTAAAATATATTCATTGCAACGACTGCGCATGTCATTCTGAATCCTGGTTACTTACGGAAATTCTCGTATTTCCTATTACACCATTCCCTTAAGAGCGTGGAGCATACCATCTATCTTCACCTTGGACACTTCCCACTATTCCTGGCACACAGCTGCTGTGAAACATCTGCTGTTCCAACAGAAGCATTTCGTTATCAAAAAAGTTTATCATGAGGTCTGCTTATTAGCAGAAGGCTTTTAAAGCTTTCCTTGGTTATGGGGGAGAGTTTGCCAGATCAAAGGAAAAATTACGACACACAAATATTAGCGATAATGTTGTAGTGATAAATTAGAGGTAGAAAATAATTTTACAGGCATGAGGGAAAGGATACATACATAAGCATATTTATTGTTTTGCTTCTTAATAATGGTGAATACAGACTTTTGACCTGCCCGGTGAATTCATATTCTCTGTGAGAAACTGAGTGATTGAAACAGGGTAACGAAGTAGACTAAAGTGAATAATCATTAAGAACAGTAAGGATGCCATAGGACAAAAGCTAGAGAAGAATCAGAGAGGCCAATTTATTCTCCAGATAAGAGAAGACAATAAAGCTTCAATAAAACGCTCCAGAAAAAGATCTTTGGTGGCTAAAATTCACAATAACAAATACCTGACAGACACAAAAGCCAGTGCTAGAACAGCCCAAGTTACGTTTTTACATCTGCACTGTGTAGAAAAGACAAAATTTCTTGGAAGAAGCCTTGGCGGTGTATTAGGATCAAACCCAAATCACAAAAGTTGGACCTACCCAAGCCTGGTGTGTGCTGTGGGTCTGTCCCTCAACCACGGGAGCCTCGTCTTCATGTGATGGAGAAGGACCAGACAATTCAGCATGGGGAGAAATAAAAGGTAGGTGGCTGCGTGCATGACTTAACTTTAATTATCAACATAACCATAGTAAAGAGGAGAAGGTGTTTTCTAACTTGATTTGTGCAAGAGACCTCAGAAAAGACAAACCATAGAAAAAGTTTGAGAAAACCATGGTACAGACATGAACAGAGATGACTTGCAAAGACATCTTAAATGGCAGCACTAGCGAAGAGGTATACCCAGCACAGCAGGAGTCTGAGGCCACAGAACAAAGTCTAAGAGAAGGGACGTGACACCTTGGGACATTTTTTGAAACAGTTTTTACTCCAAGGAGATGCAAAGAATTCTGTGGATGAGTCAGCCTAGAAATAATAGGAATGAGAGTCTGTGATGTTCATAGGAGCAGAGGTTTAATAATACCCCAGAGGAAATTATCTAGCAAAAAGCAAATGCCACTGCATTTGTTTGCTAATATCCATTAGTGCGACCCATCTGGCAGAATCCAGCAACAGGCATAAAAATATCTTGATTTTAAAATCAAAATATATGAGCTATTCAAACAACACATACATGTGCCTAGTGTAAGATCAAACATATAACCCATGTTTGTTATTTAAATCAGGATCTACAATAAGGAAGTAAAAAGAGTAAAGAGTTTGAAACAAGAAGAATCAAGGAACGCACTGAGAACCAAGTAACCATGTAAAGCAGGAGCCAGAAGCCAGACCAAAATGGGCCCAGTAAGTGCTGCCATCACCAAACTAAAGTTCCTAAACTTTTATTTTTCATGGCAAATATTAAAACACTATGCTTTGATTCATACTTCTAAAAATTATATTATAAATTATATTGTAAAAAGAAGCCTGGGATGATAAAAATGTAAATACTGTTAAAGGATTGCAATGTGTCATAATTAGAAATTGAAATCAGCCAAAAATGTTCCAAAAGAAGACAGAGAATTAAACTGGCACAACTATGCCTTGGCTCTTAGGCATTGCCACAGCACGTACTTGGAGTAGCATGGAATTTACTCAGGACAGAGCTTAACAAGGAATAAGTTATTTTACACTATATGAACTGCAAAGCTAAAGTAATGATATGTATATAGATACTTTTTGTTTTTTTGTACCAGGGATCGAACTCAGGACCTTGTGCTTAGAGGCAGGCAGTGGCACCACTGAGTCAAATCCATGGCCGTAGATGCATCATTTTTAATCATATTCTCTTGATCGTTTTTATAAACTTCCTTGGGTTTCCAGGAAAAAGCAGCTACTTAATTGGGTTTGGATATTTTTTAGTACTAGGTAGCGCCCCCATAAGGCTCTAAACAATCTCTCAGAAGAAAAGTAAATGAAAGAACGAGACTTGCTTATTGACATTAGGCTTTGCAAACCCGAATAAAACACTGCACAGACGAAAGCTGTGACTGAGAGGTTTTTCTGTGGTTTACACACTGCCTTTCTTTGCCAGATTATCTGAAGTTGCTGGGTGAACACTAAGCATAATGTCTAGGAGGACTTTTACACCGCGTGCCTTCATACACAGGAAACTGAAGTCTCCGTGGATCCCGGCTTATGACTTATCTCAGAGTCAGGCATCTACAGGCTAAGAAAAAAAATCAACCATTCTTGAAAGATTTGGTTGGGGCCTTTGTGTAGACTTTCCTACCCCTCATTTTCCTAATAATTAATTTGCCCCTGAACATCTCGGGAAAAACTCAATCCCCTGGGGGTTTCCTGCATTTATCTGAGTGTCTAGTTTTTTTTTGTTGTTGTTGTTACATCTCTGTCATTTTGAGATTATTAAACCAATCCTCCAAATGTGTATTTTATTCCTTTGGTATTTCTAATAAAGAGTTCTAAAATTTGCACTGTTTTATGAACCACTGGACTGTTTTTAAACTGTCTCATGCTTTTTTATTAACTTTAGCTACTTTAAACTGTCTTAAGAATTTTTACAGCTGATTTTTCTAAATGCAGACTCTTCATCAAGGCCTAATTTGGTTACATCTAGAACACTGTACAGAAGAAAATATACTAAAATGGATTTTCAGTTAAGGAGAATAGCTTTTATGCTACTTGTAAAAATCTGATTTAATTAAAGTATTTAAATTTATTGAATTTTAACAATTTTCAAATGATGCAGATGAGTAGTGCATTTCAGAGAAGAGGAATTTAGGTTTTGTGAGAAACACTGTGGAAGTTTTTTCAAATCTCCATCTTGGTATCCTACCCTATAGGCCAGAATTTAGGGGCGATTTGCTCTCATATTTTCTTTCCACTAGCAAAAAAATAAGGAAGGGTTGTGAAACCTGCCTTTGGCTTCCTACTTACTCCTGATATTCGGATTGTGGAACCCTTCACGATCACTCTCAGACATTTTCAGGGCTTGTGATTTCAATTAAAACAGCAATGGTAACGCCAGAAATTGATTCTGAACACCACAGGGGTACTGTTCATAAAAACTGGTACCTGGGCTTGCATCCTCACAAGCTTTCTCCCGAGGTTCTGGTCGGATCAGTTTGCTTCTTTTATGCAAAGAGCAATAGGAAAGCCTTTTCATGGACTGAGGTCATAGGGAAAGAGCTGTGTTCTGCTTGTTTGCATCGTCAACGGGGAAGCCCCAGCCACTGGAATAGCAGGGCTGGGGCAGCAGGATCTCCACACACACAGAGAAACGGGCGGCCTAGTGACTCACCGGCAGGGCAGGATCCTGACCAGGTCGTTGGGCTTGTACCCTTCGATGCACACTGCACAGTTGTCAAAATCAGACTCTGTTTCCTGCAACAGAAGCAGCAGAGATGAGGCTACGATTTTAGCCTGGATTCTTAAGTGTCGACCCCGCTCAACCCACGGGGAGGGGTGCTAGCCTGGAGCAAGGCTTTCAATGTTCCTGGGTCAATTTTCTTCATCGGTATTGACTGGTTATTGGCTGAGTTTCCATCCTTCAAGCTCCACTTTTTGTTTCTAGGTTCCACTGCAAGTGCTTTTTGTGGAGGAAAGCATTTTCTCATGTGCCGTTACTAACGATGCTCTTAACAATTATGTTTAGTGGTGACACAGCCAACTCTTGAGGATCCAAAATAATATTTATGGAGCAGAGTCTGAATGATTAAGGTACCTATTCTTTTGCAACCTAATATATGAAACATATGTAAATAACACAAAATAATAGGTCCGTGTTTTGAAATCTCTCTGAATACATCACAACTTACTACTTATGTAATAGTCTTTGTACTTTTATCATTCTCAGATTGAAAGTGGGAAGACAGTGACCAAAATGTCAGTAATTTGCAATCCTGTTAAATAAATGAATTTTGTCTGTTTTTTGGACTGGGGCCTTTGCATTGAGCTGTACCCCCAAGTCCTTTTTGAAACAGTCTTGCTAAGTCATTAAACTATCCAGGTGGGGCTCAAACTTGTGATCTTCCTGCCTCGACCTTTTAGAGTTCTGGGATTACAGTCATGCGCCACCATGCGGAGTTGAATTTTATCTCATTAAACCCAACAGTGTTTTCAGAGAGCTGAAAAATATCAGCACTGTATTTGTCAGAAAAATCAATTACTCACAGTGGAGACAACATCTGGTGCACATGTGGAGATGTGAATCCCTTACGGCACCCTCAGGAACCATAAACCCACGCACTGTATCATAACCCACTGTCCTTCCTGTAGACATCACACCATGGCATCATTCCACAGTGAGGGAGGCAGGGAATTCACCTTCAGGTGAATGCTATGTCTCTGAGGGACTGAACACCTTTCCCTCTTTCATACCGTAGACTGAGTGCAGAACGCAGCTCGGCACATAGTGCTGTTCTTCTTTCAGGGATTTCTAGAAAACCTTGTCCAAATCTTACTACTAGGCAGAAGCATTTTTTTTTTTTTTTTTTTTTAGTATCTTGTTGGACGCTGGAATAAGGTATTTAAATCTTGTTTGAATATTGAATTTTGTTTCCTTTTTTTTTTGTGTCGGCTGCTAAAAAGCCCAAGCTAAAAGTGGGACCCCTTTCTGTGACACGTTTAAGGTAGTACATTCGTGTACTATTCTCACCCTGGCTTTTTCTACTTTCTTGCACACTTCCTTTTCAGTTTCCACGTTCTCCGGCCAATGATTTTCTGTCTGACTGTATGCATTTTATGAACTCCTTTAAGTAATACTGAATAGAAGGGTTATAAATACCAGACACAGGATGTTGCCGTGCCTCTCTGTCCCACCCTTCCCTCTTCTCCTGCACTCTTCAGTAGCTCCTCACCAAAGAGAGGGCCATTACCTTGTCGCCCTTCTTGATGGTCCTGACCTGCAGCTTGCTGATGGCTTTCTTCGCTGCATCTCCAAGTCGGCGCTGAAACACCAAAAGCTGCTTGTTAGAAATAAAGATGGAAAACTGCTGGCCTCGTATCTGATGTCGTTTAATAAACTAGCACAGCTATCTCTGAAATCCTGCACCCGTGGCCTGGCTGTTTACGACGATGGCGGGAAGAGATGGGGCAGCTGTAGCTGTGCTCTTCCAGGTGCATGAAACAGCCCATCAAAGAGAGCTCTTCACGCCTAGAGTTAGGCCAGGGACACAGTAAGATGCTACTTCAGTACGGGTTACAGCTGCATAGATTAATTAAAAAAAAAAAAAAGGAGGGGGGTCTACTAATTTGCCAGTATAACTGCTCCATTTGTGACATGGAGTAGTTGGAATAAACTTCATTTCCTCCTTTTTACAGCCAGGGTTTATGTCTTCCCTATTTCTTGCACAGACCTGACTTCAGTTTGGTTTGTTCTATCCTGTCCCATCACATTCTCATGTGCCAGCCCTACCTCCCTTATGCACATGTTAGGACTGTGCACACAGAAAATGACATAAAACATAACGTTCTGGTAAGCAAATAATTAGGAAGCAAATACTCAGGCAACTACAACTGTTCAGGTCAATAAAAAATATGTATATATATCACATGCTCTTCTTCTTTTTTTTTGGTTTTTTTGAGACACGGTCTCACTATGTAGTTGAGACTGACCTCCCAGGCTGGTCTCGAACTCACAGCGACCCTCCTGCCTCAGCCTCCTGAGTGCTGGGATTACAGGCGTGCACCACCACGCCCAGCTCTCGCTCTTCTTTTAATGGAGAGCATTACTAGCCCACTGAGCACTGAACTAATACAATGAGAGGGCAACAAGGAGGGACGTGATTCAATTTTAATCTTTCAAAGAAGAAAATGGTTTGTGTGCTCCTGAGTTTTTGAAGAGATTTTTCTCCATCCAAGGTACGTGTACTTCTCACCTGAAATATGTGTATTTGCAGCAGGAAAACATATTTAAAGTTTAAAATGAGCAGAGCTAATATTTAGTACAAAATAATAATTTGCTTTCATTTTGTTCCATTATTAAAAAAAAGACATTTCAACTTTTTCTTTCTTTTAAACATTTTTATTTGTTTATTTACTTATTTTTCAGTGATAGAGATCGAACCTGGGGCCTCATGCAAGACAGGTAAACACTCTACCACCAAGGTACATCCCAGCCCTTCTGTTTTCCCTATGTTAGCAAACACATTCTTAAAATGTTCTACGTACCATACTAAAGCGTAACTCTTTATACAACCTATGAAAAGTATTGTTTTAGAAAAAACTTACACTGCTAGGTAAATTGTTCAATGTCGCAAAGTGTGAAGTTAGTACCTGAATAAAATTAAGCCTGAATTTAATGCTGATCTACTGCCCTCATCTTTATTCACCAACTAACCATCCAATCAATCAGCCAATTGGCCAATCATCCAACATGTAACTTCCCAAGCAGCCCACCAAGCAACCAGCTGGCAAAACGAGCAGCATCTTACCAACCAGCTAATTGGCCAACCGTCCACCCATCCAAGCAACTAACCAACCAACCTACTGGTCAATCAGTTAGAATATATTAAGTATTTATCAGGGGGGCGTGTCCCTAAGCAAAGAGCAGAAAAGGAGACATTTTGTTGGTTAATTTCTCTTTGATATTTTATCCTTCATTTCTAAAACAAAACGGACTTGCTTTTTTTTTTTTTAATGGAAAGGTGAATATTGGCTGTTTCCTAAAAGAAGACCTGTATAAACTTCCTTCCGATGTTTGCAGCGGTTCAGGTTAGCAACTAGGGTAGCAGAAAAAATTAGCAAAGAGACTATATGACAACTACCAAGGGGAGAGGAGAGAGAGAGGGAAGGAACCAGAGGAAACAGAACACGATGGGCCTCCCCTCTCCGCTCCTATCTAATCCTCCTTTGGTCTCATCCAAGCCACTGCTTTAGGGAGCCCTTCCTAGATACCTCCCAGCATGATTCCTCCAATCTAGAACACGCTTTGTACCTCTGCCTTATAGCACGACTGCACTGCAAACATGGTATTCATTTCTGTGATTTATCTCTGCTACTCTTCCCTCAAAGCAGCTTCAGGACAGTAAGCCCGAGTTTATTTTGCTTCCCACTGTGGCCTCAGCTTGCGGAATAAAGCTGCCCGCAGTGATTGATGGCCAGTCATTTAACACACGTTTTGGACCTTATCTTCTGTGCCAAATGCATTCTGGGTTTTTAAAAGAGGTAATGAAAAGCACAAAAATTCTTGTCCTCTGTAGATTATAATCTAGAAGGCATTCCATAAAACATGAGCAGATAAAGTAGTAAACCAATAAACCAGGTGTGGTGGCGCATGCCTGTAATTGCAGCATTCTGGGAGGCTGAGACAGGAGGATCACAAGTTTGAGCCTAGCCTGAGCAATGTAATGGCTTAGCAAGACCTGGTCTCAAAGTACAACATAAAAGGTGGGGGTGCTGGGGACATAGCTCAGTGCAAAGGCCCTGTGTTCAATTCCTAGTACAAGAAGAAAACAAAAGCTAATAGTTCCTAGCCCTGATAAAACCAGCCAATCTCCACTAATTGCTATTTTCTATTCATTAAACCTGGGCATGGCTGAAAAGGAAATCACACACCTGCGCAATATTGCATTTAGAATAAAAAAAATCTGGGCCCCAAATAAATAAATATTCACTATGTTTGCTTTCAAGATTTCAGATTTTTTTGCAGTTGTGTTTAATTGATATTCTATAATATTCGGATCCAACTCAATCACTTAAATTACCTCTTATTTTCAAAGGCTTGGCAGAGTAATTAAGTGGAAAACAGTATTTTCAAATGAAGTAATAGATTTTATTCAAAGAAAGCCAAACTACTTTTCAGCAGGTAAAGTAGAAATAATGTTTTTGAAACTTAACTTCATTTAAAATAATTCTTTAGCCCATGAAATATGCCTTTCTGAAATGTGAGCATGTGAAGTGAATTCAAAGACCACTTTAAACTTCGGCTATGAATATAACTTTACTTTGGCTATATCTGAATAAAAATAAGGTAGCTTTGAAAACAGTCCCTTTTTCTCTCTCACAGAGGGGAAATTGCAAGCTGTTCTTATTTAAAAAAGAAATGGCAAGTCCACTCAGAAAATATAAAGCAAGCTGGCATGGCATTAGCATATTAGGGATTACGGCCCACAGGAAAGGTAATGGTTAGGGAGTTAGAGAGATGAGCTCTGTTGGTGCCATTTGTCTGACAGAGGCCTAGAGAGGCTAAAGAAGTTTAGTGAAGGATAAAGTCTTCCAGGAGATGGGCTTTCCAAATTAGTAGAATTAACAGACTAAGAGGCTAGAGTGAAAGAGACAATAAGAAAGTCTTCTTCAACATCAAGTCTAGGAGGCTTCTTCCCTGGTAGTACTGAAAAATTAAATGATTCACAAAGGCAGGAAGACATCTGTGCCTTAATCATTCTGAAAAAAGCTATACTACTATTTTCCCCTTCCCTTAAAGTTGAGTCAAGCGTCATTTTATAAATTGCTGATAGATTATCTATATATGCCTCTCTTTAAAAATTCGTTTTATGGAAAAACCCTTCCTGATCAAAATAGTAAGAGTAACCACAGTTATTACACCGAGTATCCTTATCTTCCAAGGACTCTTAGAGAACAGGATACATACCAAAGAGTCTTACAGAAAAGAAACACAGTAACACAAATCTCTCTTTTCAATGAGCTAAGACAGACTAGTAGTATAAATGAATGTAATTAGCGTTTACTGAAATATTTTTAAAACAGTGGAATTTGTAGTTTGGGCAAGTATTTGAACTTCTCCCTATTTCCTATTCCATCTCTCTTCTATTTTGTTCTTTGTATTTCTTTTTTTAAAAAATTGAGTTTATTGGTACATTCCAGGTAGACAGTACAGTTCCATTCATTACTGGAATCGTGTACCTTTACATGCCAGGTCTTGGTTCTCATTTTTTCCCCTTGTCCCTGCCCTCCCTTCACCCTCCCCTCCCCTCCTCCCCTTCAGACACTTTAATTCCATTTTTATATTTTCTCATATTTTTTTCCTTTTCCCTCATTCCCCCTTCCCTATCCTTCTCTCTGTCTTTGTATTTCTCATAGAAGAGAAACCATGTGATATTGGAGCTTGTATGTCTGACTCATTCCACTTCTCATTATGTTCTTAAGTTGCATCCATTTACCTACATATGCCTCAAGTGTATCTTTCTTTTGGTACCGGGGATTGACCTTCAAGTGTATCTTTATGGCAGTGTAGTACTCCACCGTGTATAAATACCACATTTTCCTTACGAGTTCATCTGTTGATGGAGATATATACTGGAGGAAAGACCGCCTCTTTAATAAATGGTGCTGTTAAATCGGATATCCACAGGCAGAAGATAATCTAGACCTATGTCTCTCACTGTGTACGAAACTAAAATCCAAATGGATCAAAGATCTCTATGTTAAAACAGAAGCACTAAATCTACTCGAAGATAAAATAGGTAAAACTCTTGAAGACTGGCATAGGCAAGGACTTTCTTGTGGCCACAATCACAGTGACACAAGAAATAATACTGAGACTCAACAAATGGAATTGTATAAAACTACAGAGCTTAGGCCTCTTTTGAGGAGGAAAAGGGTGGCCTTTTGGCAATGGGCATGAAGATTATGAAAATCTCTGTAGGCAGGGACAAAACAGGTGGGTCAGAAAACTGTAGACACAGGAACATCAGCTCTTGAGATGTTTACGATGGTCATGGGGCCAGGTAATGCTAGATCTTTTTTTTTTTCCTCCTGTATGAGTTCTGGATTAAGACAATGAGGGGAGAAGCACCATAGAAGTTTTCAAAAATTTTTGCAAGTGGTAGTAAGTCCAATACTGTCAGTATATGTACATTTTGTTTCTTGTTATGAAAATGGTATGGAGGAAAATTTGCCCCACCCTTCAACATCTAAAAGTTTTCAACATTAAAAAAAAATCTTAAACAAATTTCAAACTGGTATTATTGGATTTCCAAAATGCATA